TGAAAGTGCGTGACAGACGCACACACAGACGCACAGACAACCTCTCGTCAATATGCGTTTTTCGCAGTGCATTGCTGCAAAAAATGCATAATTAGGAGTGAAATTGTAACACTGCTACTTAGAGTTACTTTAGTTTAGAGTTATTTTAGGTTTTAATTCACTTTACTTCCATCTTTAGATCCGGGCTTTTGCTGCGCTAGTGCCTATATCGTAGGGAGGGGAGGGGGATGAGAGATCCGCCCATGTATTCTTGGTTTATTCGAAGATAGCTGCTCAAAACGTTCTCTCCCGTTATGATACGCAGCTTTACCTTATGTTGCACTCGCGATGCACCCCTCAAAGAATTTTTTATCAGGGCTCAGTTTTTAGTTCTTGTTCGTGTATGCTTATAATTTGTCTCTGTGTATGTATGTATGTGTGTGGCACTGGGTCTGTAGGCACACTATGATGCAAAATCACGGCCTGAACAAATCTATCTAGCTCTTCTTGCTTAGGTAAGACGATGTTTCAGGAATTGCAGTCAGGTATTTTGTCGTTTCCTTTTCGCATAATTCTGTGTCTCTGATTAATTGACAATTGCAGAACTCAATTTAGACCACTGGTACCACCGCCACGTATGGTACCACCACCGGGAGTAATGGCTGGAGCAAATTTCATGCCGCCACCATCCGCATCATCGGGACGTTGGATGGCACTGGCGCCACAACGCCAGCCATCACCACGGAATTCACCGTCCGAACAAGGTGGCCCACCGGAAACTACCGCAATATCGAAGCTGCAAGATAGTCCCACTGAGGGCTTGAAAATTGTGGCTGATGATGATTAGTCCGTGCATTTATTTATTTCCTGCTTACTTTGACCAGTTGTTGTTTCATTACCGTATTTATTTTAGCTGTTCATGCATAGCTTCTTTGTTTCTTAATATTTTGATGCATTTCTCATTCTGAAGATTTAAAATAGGCCTTCAGCTGGTTCGTTTCATCGCATTCTCGGTCTTCCCTGTGTTCTTTTAACATTGTCTCGGTACGTCTGTCTTTCTGCTCTCCTGTCACATAGTCAGACCAGTTTTTGTTGCAAGCAAGTACTGGTTTTATTTGTATGGCTCACGCCAGGCTGGAATCATAGTACTTCATTGGAGATGTGCTGCAACGTGCTGACACCTATCATGTATTGTTCTGTGGTTCATTAGTTCACGGCTAACTTTTTCGCGTCAAATTTTTCAAGTATAGTTAAAATTTTGAGATGCTTAATCAGCTCCATGCAAAAGAAACGCTTCCCGACTCTTCTGCAGCAATTCGGCATCGTTTTGGCTGAAAATATGCATTAAGCTGAATAAATTTCGCACTTTTTTTTTGCATTTTTCTCTCGATTTTAAAGCTTTTTAACTATAAAAAATATGTCTTCCACTTTCTTGTTTTTGGAGAGTGGCACTGATGGAAAAAGTAGTGTATCTTGCATTTATGTTCTGAACGGGGATCGGCAAAGCTTTGCTGTTTTCATGGAAAGTTTGCTTGTCACTTTGCTGATAACCGATGGGCGATGTCTGTTATTAATTCACAAAATCCATTGGTTGTTGGCAAAATCTTTATTTAATGTCTAGCTTTTATTAATTTTATATGCATGCTTTTTATTAAAATTTGGCAGATCTTTTTCAGTCTTTTTTTCTTTTTTTTTTGGGTGATAAAAAACTGGTTTTCTCTGTTGGTTTACTAGGCTATGCTTTCTGTGACGAAATGATTATCTGTGCTCACAGATTTTCCTCTTACTGCCGATCAAGGATAAGGTTAACGCGAGAGATCGCTTTTCTCCTTCTCGTGGAAATACTTAATGGATTTTGTTTTTCTTAGCAAAAAGTCCCCTATCAAATTTGATTTGGTTGTTAAAGGCATTCATGGTAAAGTAAAACTGTAGCATATTGGAGAAGCTGTATCCTAAGAGTAAGTTTGAAATCTGTTGCAAGGTCCGAATATCCCGGTTGTAAAATTTTTGCAAATATGTTTGTAGAATAATTTTTGAAAAATTATTTTGCACTCTAATGCTGTTATTTATTAAACTTTAATATGAACCTACAACATTTTTACATGTCAAGAATCCAAGGCCGTCCGGGATATCAGTGTGGATATTCCATGTTAGTGATGTTGCTGGATCAGGTTCTTCGATTCTGAGCTCCATATCTCCAATTAGTACCCAATACCTAATCGCTACCTCTTGCTGAGAGCGAGAAGGGGGAGCGGGGGACGCTGCCCGAGTGGTCGTTTACTTTCACGCAGATAACATCCACTGATGTGCAACGTTCATCGGTTGTCGGAGAGAGTATCATAATGCCCTGCTTGTTGGGTTTTAATTTTTCGCGTGGTCGCACTTCTAAATATAGATTATTGCAAATGTCCAGTCATCTGTACCTGACGGTTCAACGTGGCTGTGGTCATTTTTTATCCATCGAATTCGTCTGGTTGTGGAAATCCCTCCTCAACAACGGATTCTTTTAGTACTTTCAAAACTGCAGGTATCACTCTCGCCAAGTTAGTATCAGCAACCGAGGAACTTTGCGAAAAATTTGCATTTCTCTTCCCGGCTTTGTAAGTAACTTATAAACGTAGAAACGGTCAGAAACTATCATTCGTTTCTATTCACTGATCCGGGGCAGCTTCCCCATCTTCAGTCGGTTCGTAATTTGCGCATGTTTGGAGCGAGTGGGAACTGCTTCCTGGGTGAAGCTGATGAGTGCCGTGTAGTTACTGGAAAGGCCCGCCAAACTCCCGCTGCCTGAAAATGCACGAAGATTTTGTTAGTTGGAGGATATTTTGGAGCGGGGATTAAATAATTTCGGATTCTGAAAGATCTCGGTCCGAAAATCTTCCATGATGCCTAAGGCAATGGGGTGTTAAAAAATGCATTCGGGAATGACTGTTTAACAGGTTTAGAACTATAAGCCACACCCAAGGAGGCGGAAAATGCGCTTGCAGTGACATCTCGGCCTGAGGAAAACTAATCTAGAAAGGCAGCTCTTCAGACGGAAGTTGAGCAAATAAAATTAAACCAAAGGAGAGTAAACCAACGACGGGTGGGGAGGAAGAGAGAAGAGGGCGGGAGCGATAGATAAACAAATTTCTTCATTTTTCGAAAAAAATGCGGTAAAGGCTGGCGTCTCCACATTTCCTTAAATATTTGGTCCATAGTGAGTAAAGTAGTCAATTTATCCTAGCATCCGCATATCAAGCATCTTTTTCGCTGCCCGCTTCCCTTGCAAACGGAGCCCATTTTTGCCAGAAAAAGACAGCCCGGGAAGGAATCAAACCACTCATCCTCACATACGGACGCAACGTGTTGAACCACTACATCACTGATCCTTTTCAACGGATCTGGAGCATGTTTCTTAGTTTATATCAATTATTTCTCCGATAAATACCAGGTTTTTGTGGGACTTCTGCGGTAGGTTCTACCACATATCCTATTGGGCAGCTTAACCCGGAGGCAAAATTTTTAGAATTCTCCTGATGTTTATACTATAACGAGCCTCAGTTAAGTGTTACTCAGATTATTAGGTGTCTGTATAAAATTCACTTATGCGCTTCCTCCCCCATCCCTTCCGCTCTGGTCCCCGTTCCTTTGACTCATTCGAAGTTTCCATTAAATACTGAAATCGGCGTTTTTTTCTTGAATTACAGTGGGCGGAAATTCGAGTTATCAAGAGAACTAGGACTGCTAGCGGCAAAAACCTCCCTGTATACCTCTTTGTGGTGTTGGGTTATGTTTTGCTTTCGGAAAAAAGTCCGTAAATGCAGTCTGAGGTATTCGTTTTCGTCTACAGTGGGAGTTCTAAAAAAAACTTCGCGATGTCCCATTACTTCGTCAGCCTTGTCGCAGCAGCTTCCGTCTTTCCGAGGTTCCGGAAAAGGCGTGCTGGTTTTTGCTTACGAAAAAAGTACTCGATTTTGTATCCATCGAGAATTCTACGGAAAAACCCGCAACATCCCAGTCTTTCGTCAATTACAATGCGTTCGCAAGCGTTGATCGATTCTGCATTGAGCAAATCAAATGTCATGCTTTTTTTGCGGCCGCATGAGCAGCGGAAGGCGTGACTTCTCTTGAAAAAAAAAAAATTTTCAGGAAGAACAAAACAAACACGACTCGTCAGCTGTTTCATCCTGAGGCACATGTATGTTTGTGTGTGTGTTTTTTTTGAATGAATGTGTGTATGTATGTATGTGTGCGTGTGTGTATGTCTAAGAACATGTGTGTGTGCACTTATATATGTTAAAGCTAGCATGTAAAGCTTGGGAAGAAGATTCGCTAGTGTAAAGTGCTGCGACGAGGGGTGGAGAGAGGAAGTTCGAAATAATTAGCGTGAGAGGAAATTGTGAGGGGGAGAGGGCGGAGGAGGGGGTTAGAAAAGCCATCCAGGCAACTGTGAAATCCGATCGTAGTTGAAAAAAAAAATTCTGATATGTGCCGTACAGTTTGCATTGAGTGAGAGTCCTTTGATGAGTCGCTACAGCTTCAGGACAAATGTAAGCAATTATGGCACAGGGCTTGCATATTTGGCTCATTTCTAAAGAAATTTGAGTTAACTCACGTAAGGCTCAGGGGAGGGATGTCCTAGCTCTTTTCCGCCAATTCTGTAATTAAGATGGACAGCGCTGCGGCTGTGGCAAACAGATATTGCGCATATTCATATAGAAAATGATGCTACTTGTAATCATTGATATTATTGCCCATAACATGTCTATTTTACATTTATCCACTCATGTATTGCCCCTATAACATAACAGTGGTTCGCAACCTTTTTCCACTGCGACCCCATTTTTAAGTGATTTTTGCCACTGCGACCCCCTTTTCAAGTACCTTTTACCGCCACTGCCCAGCGAGGCTTAATTGGGAACTTAAAGCACTAGAGTGCATCAAATATTCAGTTTTCTTACAAAGGGCCTTCAGATTTGTCGAGGTGGGGAAATGAGTTAATCTGTTAATATACACATACGCACAGACACACACACACACACACATACACATACGCCTATTATGATATCTTTATTGCAAAAATTCTGATTGAATTTAAAATGCAATCATTAACGCTCTTCTCGCTCAAATGGCAATTTCGTGGTGTTTTTAACGAGTTAGTGCGAATTTTGTTGCCGATTTTTATTAGATCGAAATTTGGTGAAAATTTAACGCAATTCGTCGCTTGTTTTTCTGCCTTCGCGGCCTCCAGGTTGAGAGCAACCACCGGCCTATAATGTACATGTAATTACGTAATGTTAACAGTCTACTCTGTACTGAGTGGATTGCTGGCAATACATGTTTTTACCGCAGTCGTCATACTGACAAGGTCCAGTTGTGGTTACTGATTTTGTGCCACTTAATGGACTGAAACATTCCAGTTCTGGGCTCTTTTTTCCATTTTTTATTGCATTCTTTACTGGTTTTTTTTTTAACTATTTATTACTTTAATTCATTAGTTGACATATTCTGATTACTTAGTGCAGTTATCGTAAATTGTCTTAATCTATTATATTAATTACCTTTTTAATCTAATGCTTAAAATACACATGCTATGGGCAAAATACAAGTGAATTACAGTAGACTTATATAATTTCTGTGTGCAGCTAGAAAATTCGAAACGGTCTCTGTGGTAAAGACAGGAATTGCAAGTTGTGATGACCGGTACCCATCCATTTCATCCAGAACCACTCCCAGCTGATGTGTCTGTATATAGGTGTGTATGTTTGTCCATGTGCACACCACATTTTGCTGCTGCTGCTGGTGCTGTTATGGAGCTGGAGAGGGGGAAATGCTTCAGCCTGGACTTCTCTCCCTCCCGCTCTT